CTCTATCCTCCCATACAATCTTTTCAGCAGATATAGGTTATAAATGTAGCTTCAGTATTTACCCATTTGCTCTTTGCCGGTTCACCTAATGATCGCCAAAATATTTGAATTAGCGTCGAAAACGTGTCTCACGCCAGGCATATGAAGGACGTCCTTTGCTCTTGGCAATTTAAATGCTTCCATATCTTATGCACTGGCTTTCTGTCTGAGGCTGTATGCCAAGTCCCACCAAGTCATTCAACTTTTGCTTGATTGCGGCAGTAAGTTCATTTCAGGGGAATCGGACAAGGTAAAATGCATAAGATTTTCTTTGCCAACAAGCCCTTCAGTTCTTCGGACATCTGGTGTAATCCTCACCATCATTAGTTAATCCGTTGTGAGTATCCAGAAACAAGTAAGCCGCCTCGGTAAATCACACTTAATTAAAAATGACAGCATCCCAAAATGTTCCATTAGACTGCAAAGAAATTTTACTCTTTAAGTGACGAAGTTTCATTTCAGCCTTTCTAGGGACAACAGTAATTGAATTTACCAGAGAAAGGACTAGATAGACCTTAGAATGTATACTTCGCAGAGATAAATGAATTTTCCAATACTCTGCATAATAGTAATAGTCCCCTTTGCGATCGGCGAGACCGCAAGTGACCGAGATCTGTGATTTTGCAATGATCTTGAAAGGTAGAATTGGGATATTTCAGCGGTAAGGTCATTTAGGCAAAAATATGCTGGTAAAAATGAAAATTCGTTTGCGCTCCAGCGCGCTAGAGATAAAATACTAAGACCGATGTCATAGTGCACGCCAACGTACGATTTCTGAATACAGATTCTCATCTCAAACAAATTATTAATACCTCATGGTACTGCTATTCTGTGGACACAGGTTCTAAGTTGGGATAAACCGAACTGCACTGCCGATCGTCGGCCACAACCATAGATAAATATTTATTGCATGATCCCACCCATCACTTCTGGCTGACACGCGAGAACTTTGCATGCATATAAACATTGTCTTGTCACCTGTAAACATGAGGGGGCTCTTTTGTGCGGGATCTAACAGATCGCAAATGTAAATGCGAATAAACAACGGTTATAAAACAGGCCCTTACGTCAAAACAACATACATATGTAGGTGTGGCAATTCGGACGACGCAGCGTTCAGACTGCATTCGTAAAATCACTATTTTCTGGAGTATTTTGTTAAGAGACATTGAAATGCAAGTTAGTTCTCGACCGTGCAGTCTTAAAAAATAATCAGAGACAAACTGTATTAACAGTCCTTTTGAAATTCGGAAACACAACTCCGAAAATTTTTCAGTTATCATAACTCATACTTACGGCATTTGTAGAAAAAAGAGGTAATGCATTACATCCTCCATTAAACGTAGGCTCGTTGAAATGTAAGTCTATGACAAGCCGAAAATTGGCACAAGCGAGAAAAGATGCGTTCTACATGAACTTACACTTCATACTGATGCAAATGTATAGATGGTAGACTGCAGACTCAGTCGTTCTCTGTCTAAAGGGCAGCAAGACTTAACCTCCGGTTACTGAAAATTTGAGAATCCTTGGAGATGACGTTAATCAAAGCAGATGGACGGTTGCTTAAATTGGCATAAAGCATTCCAGTGAAGTAAAGGAAAAAGAGGTCCAATCATGGTGCGCCGTTTGGTTTCCAACGTCCTTAATAATGTCCTACATGATTTTTTTCGCCGTCTATAATTTATGATTAAAAGGAGGTACTTAATCAGAGGAGGCGATATTTTATAAAGTTTCCACCTCCAGTAGACCACGACAGCAAGCTTATAATGCTCGGAGGGTGCGCGGCAGATAACCTACGCGTTAAAGGGTAAAAATAGTAATTTAGAAATAGCAAAAAAACCAACAGGTAGAACTGCCTTTCCGTAAGTTGAAAGAAACATTAAGATAAGAATGAATTCAAACATTTAAAGTCCATGATGAGCGATATTGTTTGCGAAAGCCAACGCTGTAACCTTAAAAGCATTTTTACGATCAGTAATTAGCAAAGTTCGAGAGATTTCCGAAGATCCAAATTTAAGGCTCCCGGTTATGTAAAGCCGAAAGATTGCAAGATCTCAAAGGCTAAACCCGGTAATATATTTTTTTACGCAGCTCGAGAACATCATAACTGGACACAAAAGAAGGTGAAAAAAGTCAACTCTGTCCCACCTACATGTTGAGTGGTTTTAATATTCTAAATTACATTTGCTTAATTCGACTCATCAGCTGGGTCGGGGACCGCAATTGACTTCGCCTAGGTCCGCTCCCTATGCCTCGTAAGTGATTGTGTGGAAGCTCTCGCATCAGCTTACGGGACGTTTTTGGGCATCAATGACCATAAAAGTTTTGTTTTCTATTTTACTATATTCAGTACAAGTCTGCGTCTGCCCTCGTAGTTGAATGGGTGGACAGATTTTTTGTTTGACCATCATGTTCATTATGTGGTTCTTAGAACTTCAGTTCGCCCGAAGTTAGAGTCCGATGTTTAATGGACAAGTAACTTCGGTCACCTCTTTAACTCCCGGAAACTATTTCACTGCGACATACTACTTGTTAACAATCGAGGAACGATTCTCTCTCTCTCTCTCTCTCTCTCTCTCTCTCTCTCACACACACACACACACACACTCTCGAGGGAATTAAGTTAGCTCATCATACGAAAATTATGACCTCTAATATCTTTGAGCCAAGGTGAACATTGGCAAACACTGTCCCACCAGTGTTCGAGTGCGTGACCTCGACAGAAAATTAAACATAATGCTCACTCATCGTCCTGAAACAAATTGGTGCGGCACTGTTAGATCATGACACGCAGCCCGAGTGTGCATGAAATGAACTGCAATGTTAATAGGTCGACCGGATACTTTTAGCGGGTTGCGAGTTGTCAAAAAATTAAGTTGAGCAAAAATTTCCAGCGAGACCTTTTCTAGACTCCGGCTTGATCAGACACGCGTTGCTTAGGGACATCCTCCGGTTCTTATAATAATAACTGTACAATTTAAATTGCACCCTAGGTAGTGGTTATTGCGTCTCTGTTCAACGATTTTCGTCCAATATTTGCCCCAAGATTTGTTGGACATACGTCAGCCATCGCCAGACAGTAATAGAGAACATCACTGCGTGTATATAGGTCGAGACCAGCTCGTGTCGATGCGTCCTTGGCTGTTCGAACTTTCCGGCCTCATATGGTTCACTTGGATCTTCTCCCTAATTAGGTCTGAACTTAAAGTTCATATCCACATTCGTCCTTCAGCGACTATCGCTTATTTTCAACAAAATCGATCTGGATTTTTGTTTTTGTGCTGTGCGGCGTTGCTAATGTCGTACCTCAGTCTACTAGTACTGACAAATAACGAAAATTCCGAAAATGCTTTGCATGCATCTAACTTCCCGACTACATATTTTCACAAGGAATGAAAACAGCGCGTCCCAAAATGTGTACACTTAGAATACATGCAAAGCCAGCGGTTATTAAAATACATTACATTTTCAAGATGTAACAGCGTCTGCATGCTTTGTTTGCTTGCTCTGTCAACGCCCCTTTTCAGTCAGCTGATAATGTGAAGCAGTGGTATCGCAAACGTCAAGAAATATTCCGTCTTTTCTCAGGCTGCATTCTTGTTCACTAGCTAGTCTTAATCCAACGACTGTTATCGGTTTCGTGGCGTAGAATTTATTTGTTAAGTATCCCCGTAAAAAGTATAAAATGCGAGGTCTTTTAAACGTGGGCAGAATTATGCGAATCCCCTTCATTTTGTTTACCTGTATGTTAAGATCTCATAAGTGTAGGATCTTGCATCAAGTATGTCGTATGACATTGTCCAACCTCACTAAGAATGAGACCCATGGTGAAAACGCTGATAAAAGGGATCAAAGTTATAAGCAAAAGTAATCAGCTCATAGTATGAATGTTGTGTCCAAAATAAAAAAAGATGAAAGGGAAAATAGTTCGAAAAACCAAAAAAGACAAAGGCCCCTCGGATACTCCCAGAAGATTCTACACTGACCACACTCTGTAATGGTCCTTGTATGGATAAATCCAACCCTAGAAAATGCGACAATAGAATCAAATCGTGTGAATAGGTCCAGCCACAGCGAAATGTCCTGTTAACTATTACCACAATGTAATGGCGAAATTAGAACAAATCTGGGTGCAGAAAGAACACTTGTGGCGTATTGTGTTCGTAACATATTGACACTGGACTACATCCAGGTTCAGCTCTGTAGTAGAAATTGAGATCGTAAAACAAATAAACATAGAAATCCACGGACCTCCCTAGAGCTTGAGATGAATATTTGTCGAAACAGGTTACGGTAAGTGGGACTATTCGCAAGAGCATCAAAAGGGTATGAGACTAGTCCACGTGATAATAATTAACACCACACTGTAACTCCGGGTAAGTTGATGTGATGTCCCACCATAAAATTGACTGTCAGATTACCAGCTAGTGCAATTGTATCGGTCATTTATACCATTTGCTTTTAATTATACCTCACAAATACAATGTATATTTTAAAATGTGCATCTTCCACACATTTTGCGGTGTATCGTTCGTAATATCCCGCTCTTCGATCCGGAAAATTTTCAATTGGTCGCATGGACAAGTCTTTAAATATGGCTTTTTCAATGGCAAGCTCTCAAAATACGATAGGCAGGCGATTTAGAAGGAATCGTTTGGGCTAGCAGCTGTTAAAGTGCTCATACATTTTTACGAAACCCTGCATGTTTAAATCCATATGTTTCCTCCTGAACGTAATTGTTGCTGACGTCTCTCATCTCGTCATTTCCTCCCACATTGTCTCTTTTGGTTCGTTTTGACTAAAACTAATAAAATTGTCCACCTTTCTTGAACATTGTCCTGTGGCTCCCGAAACTTTGTTAGATCCGCTCATTTTAACGTTCATCCGTCGTTTCGAACCCTTAAGGTCTCAAGGAGATGCTCGTCTGCGAATGATTTGCTACCCTGTAAGTTTCGGTGTTCTCACAGCTCTTCGCGTTTCGCCCCTTTGATGCCATCATCATCATCATCATCATCATCATCATCATCATCATCATCATCATCATCATCATCATCATCATCATCATCATCATCATCATCATCATCATCATCATCATCATCATCATCATCATCATCATCATCATCATCATCATCATCATCAATCTGCTGCTATCTGATTCGTACTATTAGTTGACAATTGGTTGCTTGCATGTTTTTACCACCTGGTTCTGTAGTAAGCAAAAATAGCCTACCGTTGCGCTACCATTTTGCTGCTTACATATGCGGAAGGTCTTCCAAGTTGCCCTGATTCTCCTATACTTTTGAATTTGCGTTCTGATTCCATCTACGGAAGATGTCTGTTTGTTTAATCCAACTATTATAATTTAGTTCTCTTATGCAATACATAAGGGTTCAAGCACCCTACCCCTTGACTGCAACCGAAATTTATTTATACACAACCCTTGTCTACGTTTTCAACCAGGTGTCATCATCTGCCTTTTTGAGGCGTTTTCTTGCGTTGTCTGGCGTGAGTCTTACGTAGTTTCTCGGCGTCGCCGTCTTCACTAGAGCTTCTACTTATGCTGTGAATGTCTAAGACTTGTTCGTGATCGATTTTTATCCCATTGTCGGGGGCAGCAGCCCACTTTTTAAAAGTGTACTGTTAACCAAAACCACCGTTTTATTCTCAGATGATCAGCCGAATTCGACTACCTTTGACTAGTAGGTTTATATCTCGATAGGTCTATGGACGGCGGGTAATGGAAGATTCCCCCGATAGTCCAAATATCTGTATTATTTTTCTTAGTTTTAACAATTTTCATCATGGTTGATTCAGTCAGTTTCATGCTGCAGGCTAGAAGCACCAGAAGAGGTCACCCTTCATTCACGCCAATAGATGGGAGATATCCGAGAATTTAACGCGCCAACAGTGGGAAGTCATTTAAAATGGGCAGCTTAAGACTCAACGAGTAAACCATCTTAGTCACTCCAACCTAAATTCATTCGGCATAACTGTCAGTCAGTCTGGCCCGTAGTCCACCCCTAACATGATCAGAACCGGTCTTTCAATCAGACAGTACATGAATCACAGTGACATTCTGATCCGTGTGCTATACAGCAAGACAAGAGCAGGGATGGTGACTTACTCGAGATTTCTATTATAGTGATAGTAGGCTTGCGCCGCATCTACCGTACTCTCTCCTCCTCCTCCTCCTCCTCCTCCTCCTCCTCCTCCTCCTCATCATCATCATCATCATCATCATCATCATCACTTGGTCTCGCTGTCAAGACATAGTCAAGAAAACCGGAGGCGGGGAAGGGCGCAAGTGGCCGGCACGGCGAAAGCTCGCACCTAGGTGTGCACCACCACACCCTCTGGTCCACAACGTACACTGATTAGGATTTTATGCTGGGCCGCTGGGGCCCTAAATGGCGCGGTGTACGCCTACACCTGGACCTGCCGCCACACCCTCGAAGTGCGCATTCCCAATAACACCTCCCTGACTCCCACCTAGCCCTCGTGTATGGTCCAGGGCATCTACCACGTCGACCCTTTTAGGGGGCAACCATGAGTAAATACACCTTTTGGGCTAGATGTTGCTGGGACCTATCTCATCTAGGTTTCCATAAAGCGAAACCGGCTGGGTGTACGATCTAGGATCGAACAGTCGTTTACAGACACGCCGAAAGGTGGGAATCAAAAGCGAAGACTCGGTCCTTGGTAGGCCGGTTCCCACTGCACGGTGACCAAAAATCGTTCCTCAGCTAAACTTTTCTGCAGTGCTGGAGGGATATAAATTCTCATTTTGTTATATTTACTGGCCTATTTCACTGCCACGGAAGTCCACATCAAAAGGATGCTGTGGTCCACACAGGAAGCACTATACGCACTTGTAGGCACCGAGTAGACAGTTATTCGACCGTTGGCATCTGGCTTCGTGATAGACAGCCGTCGGTGACGTTCCAATGTGGTAAATACGTTGGTACGGAACGAATCCAAAAAGTACGTTTTGCTGTCCGCCAGGAGCACGGTCATTTTTCTAAAATTTGCGGTCATAGATCTTTTCCTTCGGACCGGATCCAATGCCTGAAAGTGTCCAGAGTTTGCGGATTTGGCTGATCTCCGGCCCCGATCAGCGTTGCGTTCATGATCTCTTAAGGCTGAGTTCATTGAACTGTTTAGCTCTCACTTTTGTAATCATTTCGTCCACAGCAGTGGTCATTCTTTTTCCTCTTCTGGTTTTCTTAGTGTCCGACACTCTTTCCTGGCCCTTCAAAGGGCTTACCATCACCAGCTGACCATTGTTTACAAGCAAGCCAAAAATGCCAGTTTCATCCTCGCTTGATTTTGTCAACAAACCTGATTTAATTATCGCATCCTCGTCACTAACGGACGCCTCAGGGGAGAGAGGGAGGGAGGGGAGGATTAGTTTGTTGATCTAGGATGAGATGGAGTTCCCACATTCCGTCCTGCAATCAGGTCGCAAACTCTAGTCTCATGACTGTTCTGCAGGGGACATTTGGTCTTAAAATGCTCCATTGAAGCTCTTTCATTCATTTGTTTTCGATCAAGGAGTACCGTTTAGGAGCTTGTCTGTGTCTTTGCCCAAATCAGGAGCTGCGAACTGATCTCGCAGTGCGTAAATTGCGGATAAACAAAAAGGGGA